AACACATTTAGGACTCTTGCCACTACGAACTAAATAAGTCTTATCTTAGTAGCAATAAATTAACAGGAAAACAATATTCTTTTCTTTCACTGCCTTCTGATGATTTTGCTTTCTCCCATCTTTTTTAAACGCCTTTGGTTTCAGAGACATCCATCGCGTTTAATGTAAATTTAATGTAATGTACATGTACAAATTATTTTTACAGTAAAGGACATTTTCTAACCCTTCCATCTTCAGTTCATTTTACTTTGTTTGAGATGAACATTTTTAAAAAAACAAATCTGACTCCGTATGCCTGTTTCTAGCAGGTCAATGAATGTCAACACATGGCTAACAGTGTGACGTGCTCCTGTTATTTGTAGAAACTGGTTTTCAGTGTGCTGCTGAGGTGCATGCTTGTGCTTTGGGGTGCATGCTTGTGCTTTGGGGATTGCAGGCTGTCATATTGTTCACTTTCCTCTGCAGAGCTTTGCTTTGTACATTGTCGGGGATGACAGCGCCGTTTCCAGTGAAGTTTCCAAATACTTGTTGAGAATCTCAGCAGGTAGGAATCCCTCTGGGAAGCTTCCTATGAGCAAGGTGTGCTGCCACTCTCAAATGAGTGAATTAGAAGGAGATTGTTGACTCTCACCTGCTTTGAAGGAAAGCGACACATTTGTAATGCATGTTCGTGAACGTGTAGCCCAGAGTTTTTGGGCAATTATTAAAAAGAAACCCCCGTCCTTCCCCATAGCATCTAAAAAAGCACACATTCCAACAAATTCTAAATATATTATGCTACATAGTGTTTGTCATCATCTCTTCCAGTGTGAAGTTTATGTTAATATATGGAATGCTGTAAGAACAAGAAATCTTAATACTATTAGGCAATGTACTTTGTTTTCCCCTTACTATAATGACTGATGTCCTGAGGTTATTGATTAGGCTGTGTCACAGGAATACTGTGGAACTGCGGGATCTGATCTCCCACGAGCCCTGGTACATTTGTGTCGATTGCTGTCGTATTGCAACTACTGTAGTGGCTTTTTTCAAATGCTCTCAGATATTCCCTATTTTTGACAGGCTTTTAACAAATTGTCCCCAGCCTTAGGATTGTGGGGCTGTAGAGATCACAACCTTATTATCACATTTTCTGTCCTCCTCTTGGAGGTGATAAACTCCTAAAACAAAAACGTTCAGATATCATGAAATTATGAATTCTCACATCTGTTCAGAACAAGAAGGCTTCCATTAGCCCAAGCAGATGTTTAATTATCAGACGGAGAGTTTCCGAGTCGTGAGTGAGCCAGCATTAGTCTTAGGAATGAGTAAGTGGTACAGATAGCCTGTGCCAGCAAGCTAAAGTATTTAATTATTTTCCATATGTGCAATACATATTTTACATTTCCTTTATTGTGAGACAAAGTAGAAACATCTGCACACCTTTTCAAACAAATAATAGATGCATAGAAGAAAAAATGCATAGATCCCAACTGAAGAAACTCCCACACACTCTTTTGGAAATATTAATTTTGGAGATCCTGTATCACTGCTGAAGCTGCTGCCTTCTTGGTTGTATGGCCTTTCCAAAAACCTTTTTTCTAATGCAAATACATATTATGCGTATTTTTCTCTCCACAGGACAGAAGAAAAATCCTAATGAACAGACAGCAAATAAAAGGTAACTTGATTAGTAACTGACCTGGTCACTATGATACCATTGTAGAGATAGCAGCAAGTGATAAGTTTTTACAAGATACCAAACCATTTGTATTTCAATAAAGGCAGTGCTGAGACTCTGTGATGTAAGTGTTTTCTGCAATATCCTGGCCTTGATAAGCAGAATTGCATATTCATTATTTACTTAATGCTAGAACTGCATAACGTTTGGCCGTACGTCCTAAAATCATGTTTTTTTTAAAGATTTTTTTTTTTAAAGTTCCAATGCTAACGTGAATGTTTCCCTCAATTTAATTACTTTCAAGCCCATTTCTGTCAACAGAAAAAAAAATTAAATGTCACCAGCTGCTTGGCAATTAATGTGCAGCTTTGTATGATACGAGAACAGCCTGACACTACAATGTGGCACTGTCAGTAAGCTGCAAGTCATAGGTGATTCATTCCTTCAGAAACTGGGCCTCGTCCTGTGAGCTCACTGTTTGTATGTGTAAGAGTTGAACGTTATTTCAGAGTGGATAACACACAGTTGTTTTCTAGGCTGAGCGGTTTGAGACTGAGTGCACCAAATTCCAGCCTGGCAGAAAAGCTTGTCATCTGGTTAGCATCTGCAGGTAAATAGTGTGGG